TTGTTGTTAGAATTTGCTGTTGAATATTTTCCAATTCCTCCCCTCTCATCTTTTATTTGACATTTTATTTTACTTGTAAACAGGTATGGGAGGATTTTTAAAAATCCTAATTATAATATTTTTGGTTTTATATAAAAACATTCTAACTATACACATGTTCTAACTATTCTTGTTAGTTATATGGTAACTAACATATTTGGGCTTTTTCTGCATTGGTTTCTTTGTAGATAGTGAATGCTATTCACCCTGATCTTTGTTTGGCTAGCTTTTAGTTATTAATTGGATCGGTTTAAATTTTGCCTTTTCAGAGTAATTTCAGAGTTGTCATGGTTTTTCCATGACAACTTAATCTCTTCATCACCTTATGCCCCATTACTGTTTTAGTTTTCTACATAGCATTTATCACCATTAAAGGCTTTTCTCTGAGAGAGCTTGAACCATGTTTGTCTTGTTCACAGCTGTGTGCGCTTGGTCCTTGTACCAGTGCCTAGTATATAAAAGATGCTTAACTTTAAAAAAAAAGAAAAAGAACAAATGCTTGCTTTTTTACCTCCCCCTTTTTTATTGTATCTTAAATATTATTTTATATCTATTTTATTTTCTCCTGGTTATAGATTTTTCAGGATGCTTGGAAGACTGTTTATATTGTGGATTAGGACTTCAAGAGTTCTTCAAAGCTTTTCTTTAATGAAGTTTATAGTCCTTGGTTTGAGTCCTAGGTCCATGATCCACCTAGAGTTAGTTTTTGTGTATGGAGTGAAGTGTGGATCTTGCTTGAGTCTTCAGCAGATAGTTTTCAAATTTTGCCAACACCATTTGTTAAAAAAGGTGTCATTTCCCCACTTAACTGATTTCATCTCCTTGTCAAAAATCAGTTGACCATACGTAGATGGGCTGATTTCCAGGTTCTCAATTCTGTTCCATTGATCTGTGTGTCTGTCATTGTACCAGTACCATGCAGTCTTAACCACCACAGCAGTGTAAGAATCCAATCCCTATGCATATCCAAAAACTTATCTAACAAGGTAAAAAGGGAAGCAACAGACTGGGGAAAAAATTTGGTAATGACATGTCTGATAAGGGACTTATATCTAGAATTTATAAAATACTTGAGCACCACAACAAGATAAAGGTAAACAATCCATTTGAAAAATTGGCACAGGATATGAACAGGAACAGACAGTTCACCAAAGAAGACATTCAGATGGTAAACAAGCACATGAAGAAATAATCAAAATCCCTAGCTCTAAGAGAGATGCAGATCAAAACAACTATGAGATATCATCTCACCCCAGTCAGAATAGCAAAATTTAACAGAACAGCAAGCAACAAATGCTGGCAAGGTTGTGGAGAAACTGGTACCCTTATTCACTATTGGTAGGAGTGTAAAATGGTGCAAACGCTGTGGAAGGTGGTGTGGTGCTTTCTCCAAAAGTTGCAAATAGAGATACCATTTGACCCAGCAACTCCACTACTGGAAATATACCCCAAAGAGATCATAGCTGCCACCTCAGCAGATATATGCACACCCATGTTTATTGTGGCTTTGTTCATAATAGCAAGGGGTTGGAAACAACCTAAGTGCTCATCAACAAACGAATGGATAGAGAAGCTGTGGTATATTCACACAATGGAATACTACACTGCATTGAAAAAAAGGAACTCATGAAATATTATTCAAAATGGGTGACCCTGGAAGACATTATGCTTAGTGACATATCTCAGTCACAAAAGGACAAATACTGTATATTGAGTGCCACTATTGTAAAATAGGACTGATATTGGGGTTGGGGGGAGACTGAAAAAGATGGGATAAATAATGTATACATCATTGAAACAGGTGAGGGAGAAAACTGTTTAAAAGGGATATGTGATTAGGTATTATTGTCATGACAGGAGTCCAGAATGAAGGCTGCATATTGTAGTGGATGGGGGAGGGGGGGGGATTGAAAAACAATGAAGAATTTTACTTTTCAAAGAGATGAGTGTATGGGGGCGGGGAGGGATTGAAAAACAATAAAGAATTTTACTTTTCAAAGAGATGAGTATATGGTTGGAGGGGTGGGCAGGGAGAAAAGTGCCATAGTGAATGGAAATCCAAAATATCTGTAAATTTTCATTAAAATTAATAATAATAATAAAAAGACTTATAAAATAAAAAATATTATTATACAGCAATACAAATATATGTATTGTATTTCATTTATTTTCTCTTTTTCTTGATTTCATTTGCTAGATTATTTTCCTCTGTACTCTCTCTGCTCCCTACGTTGCCTAGGCAGTTTAGAAATTTTACTCCCTCACTCTTTTATTAATAGTTAACTTTACATTTGAACAATAATGTTTAAATTTGTATTCTCTGTCAACATCCTAAAAAAGTACATGCATTCCATTGTTTTACTTCTTTATTGTAGCCCTGTCCCTCCTTTCTCCATTCTACTCTCTGCCTCTTCAGTGTGGGGTGTTTTTTGTTTTTGTTTTTTGGGGTTTTTTTAAATATACTTTTACTTTACGTCCTCATTTTCATCTCTCATTCCCAGGCCTGGGCTTTTTTAGAAAAGTTAGGATCTTCTTAAGGTTTTTTTTATGTTATGCCCTGTTTGTTGGGTTTTTGTTTTTTTTTAAAGTAGCTGTAAGTTATAGTTCATAGTCATATTATCAGTAGCTGTTTTTCACCACACGTTTTATTAGATTTCATGAATAGTGTGAATTCTGTCTTAAGATTTTTGATCTGACTTAATTTACTTTCTGGCTGCTGTAATTTGTTGAGTATTGCTTCAGAAAAAGGTATGCTGGTAGACTATTAATTTACTGTTGCTTCTATAGAAAGTTACCACAAACTTAGTGACTTAAAAGAATGTAATTTTATTATCAGTTCTGATAGTCAGAAGCCTAAGAGGGGTCAAAGTAGGCTAAGACCTCTTATTTTTTCGGCTCAATCTGTTTCCTTGTCAATTCTAGTTTCTTTCCATCTTCAAAAACAGCAGTTTAGCAACTTCTTGCCTCTGTGTTTCTCTTGCACCCACCTGAATAAGCTGCAGTGATCTTCCTTCTCAAGATTTTTTAACTCATGAAAGAAAAATATTTTCCTCACACCATAGATAAAAATAAATTTAATGTGTATTAAATTCTTAATAAGTAAAGCAAAGCATTGAGACTTTTCTAAAATACAGTGAGCCATTTTTTCTCTTTTGGTAGATGGAAGAATTTTTTAACCAGACCAAAAGCAAAGAAAAATCAAGCTTAGGAGCAGTCAGTGGTTCTTAATCACATCTTCAGAGTCCCCTTTGCTTTTCAAGGGAACATATTTATAGATTTCAAGAACTAGTTTTTAGATATCTTTGAAGGTCCATTGTTCTCAGTCCAGCAGGTAGCATGTAAATACGGATGTTTATGAGAAAGTCTGTTTTTATTTAATTTTCTTTCTTTATTTATGTCTCCCACATTTAGAGAAAGTGCATGTATATATTCATTTTTAAAAAAATACTTGCATTTTATAAGGCAAAATTATAAAACTTTGAAAGTTTAAATTTGTAGAGGGCTGTTTGTGGACTGAGAAGGTGAGAAGGACCAGTTATTAAGTTCTTGGCTATCTGCTCCAAAGAATATACCCTTCAGCACTTTTGTATCTAATGTTGAGGTTGGACTCTGCAAACATTTCTCCTTTGCCAAGTTTTGTTGTTGATGTTAGGTGCTGTTGAGTATGACTCATAGCAACTCTATGAACAACAAATTTTTTCTTTTAATATGATTTTTTTTTACTGAATCTGGGTGGCTCTGTATCCACACGCTCAGTCACTGTTCTGAGTATACATATGTCGCTGCTTTCCCTGAGGAATCAGACAGAGACTGACCTTTACAGCACTTTGTGTGCACATGTATTTGTGTGTAAAATCTACATTATTACTATTGTTGTGGCATCCATTCCAATTCGTAGCAAATAAAAGGAAATGTAGCCTGGCCCTGCACCTTCCTCACAACCATTGCAATGTTTGAGCCCATTTTTTGTAGTTACTGTATTTACCAAGTAAATTGTACTTCTGCAGAGAATTATCCCTCCGGATAACATATCAAAACATGTGAGGTTAATTCTTGCTGCTCTTTCATGTCTAAACAGCATTACGGTCGTACTTCCTCCAGGACAGATGTATTCATTCTTTGAGCAGTTCATGGAATTCTTCAACAATCCCATAAATCAAAGGGATCAGTTCTTCTTCAATCTTCCTTATTTTTCCATCGTCTTGGAGGATGTGGGTCAATGAGTCATTTGTGCCTCTTCCTGGTTCTTCCTGGCCAACGTCAGCTTTCCCACTAGAACAGGGCCGTTTGGCCCAGGGTCCCAGCTGCCTGGAGCCTGTAAATGGTGCAGAGCCAGGGGAGAGGGCACACCCCATCCCGCTCCAACAAATTTGATCCCTCTTCTATCCAGTGCCATCTTCTGACATCATCTCTGACACACTTAAATCCATTGCTACCCATACATTGTGTCGATCCATCTTGTTGAGGGTCTTCCTCTCTTTCACTGTCTCTTTCACTCCACCTTTCTAATCATGATATCCTTTTCCAAGGAATAGCCTCTTCTAGCAACATACCCAGAGTATGTGAAATAAAGCTTTATCATCCTTGTCTCCAAGGAGTATTTTCACTGCACTTCCTTCAAGCCGTATCTTTTGTTCTTTTGGTAGTCAATGGGATATCAGTACTCTTCTCCAAGGTTCTACTAACAGAGATTTAAAGGCAGGAGAAATGAGAAGGAACTGGCTTCTTTTGAATATCGTTTAGTTTCAGTGACCTTTGTTTCACCTTGAGTTGCCTTTGGAAAGTCAGTAAATGTTCTTTGTCTTTCATATTATAGTGAGGCATAAGTAATCACTCCTTGCTCTGTTTAGAAATGTGCAGTGAAGAAATTTGACCAGGATAAGCCTTGTTTTACTATTCCTTCCTGACAGTATCTAAGCCCTCTTAATCTGAAAACTCAAGTCTTTTTCTTCTTTTAACAGAGAAATCTTTTGGAAGATGATTCAGATGAAGAGGAGGACTTTTTTCTGTAAGTTAAAAATTATACTTATGTAGCTTTTATTAAGAAGGAGTTAGGTTCAAATCTACCAATCATTCTACTAAAGAAAGATGGGCCATTTTCTGGAGAGGTTTTTTTGTATTGTTTTGTTTTGTTTGTTTGTTTCCTTGTTGTGTATCATCGAATTGGATCCGACTGGCTCTGGAGGAGATTGCACCTCCTCCAGCAGAGCGTCTGGACTGCAGCGCAGCTTCTTCCCACTAGACCAGAGCTCCCTATTTTCTGGAGAGGTTTATAGCCTTACCAACTTGAGGGAGGGTTTGCTATGAGTTGTAATTGACTTGATAGCAGTGGATGAGATAGCTTTGTTGCAGTTTTGACGTATAGTAAATATATATATATTTAAAATATGTAATATTAATTTTTATATGTATCTACAGTCTTAATATCATCAATAAATTTAAGATAAGTATAACCATTGGTCCAGTATTTTCTAAATGATGTTGTTGTTACGTGCTCTTGAGTTACCTATGACCCATAGCGACCCTATGTACAGCAGCTCTGAAGTCTGCCCTGTCCTGAGCCAGTCTCACTGACTCCGACACACCTACCCCCATTGCCCTCGGTACCGTATCAATCCATCTCATCCAGGGTCTTCCTCTCCTGCACTATCCCTCCACCCTACCGAGCAATGATGTCCTTTTCCGAGGATCAGTCCCTCCTATGCCCAAACTATGTGAGACAGAACTTCAAAATCCTAGCCCCCCTCGGAGAAACTTGGTTTCACCCTCTCCAAGACAGGCCTGTTTGTTTTCTTAGCAGTCCATGACTCTTCTCCAACACCACAACTCAAAAGCATCAATTCCTCTTCTGTCATTCTTAGTCATTATCCAGCTCTCTTATGCAAGGCAAGTAATTGCTGGATCAGGTGCATCTTAGTCCTTAGCCTGACATTGTTGCTTCTCGGTACTCTGGAAAGGTCCCTGACAGCAGAGTTACTTTACCTAATGCAATTTGTGTTCTGATTTCCTAACTGCTGGTGCCAAAAATGTTATTTACTCTTCAAATCCTCAAGAAACTAACTCATGTGCTTTCTGTCATTATGAGTTGTTGTTGTTGTTGCTATGTGCCGTCGAGTCGCTTGCGACTCATAGCGACCCTATGTACAACAGCCCTAAACTCCGCTCTGTCCTGTGCCAATCGCACTGTCTCTGATACTCTCATCCCAATTGTCCCAGTCACTGAATCAGTCCACCTCATAGAGGGCCTTCCTCTCCTGCGCCGTCCCTCCACCCTCCCAAGCATGATGTCCCTCTCTAAGGACCGGTCTCTCCTCACAACATGTCCAAAGTATGTTAGACAAGTTAGTTTGTATTTTCTAGAGCTCTCCCTCCCCTTTTTTGTGTGTACCATCAAATCAGAACCAACTGGCACAAGAGGAAAGGAGGAGATTGCCCCTCCTTCTCCAGCGGAGCATCTGGTGGATTCAAACCCATCATCTTTGAGATTGCAGCACAACTTCTTGTCACTCAGCCACCAGAGCTTCCCTTTATAAAAAAAAAAATTTTAAAAAAGGAATTGTTTTCCCTTTCTTACTGGTTTCACTTATCATAATTACTTTGAAATGTATGCATTAGACTATGGGGATCCTAACAAATTATAGCTAGCATTGAGAAGAATGAGAATCTCAGAACACTTAATTTTGTTCATATGAAATCTGCACCTAGATCCAAGAGGCTGTTGTCGGAATAGAGCAGAGGAACACTGTTGTTGTTATATGGCGTCGAGTCGCTTGTGACTCATAGCGACCCTATGTACAACAGCCCTAAACTCCGCTCTGTCCTGTGCCAATCGCACTGTCTCTGACACTCCCAACTATGTGGTTGAAAATCAGGAAAGGTGTGTGTCAGGGCTGTTTTCTTTCTTCATTACAATTCAGTATGTATGCTGAACAAATCATTTGAGCAGCTGAACTATATGAAGAAGAATGTGGCATCTGGATTGGAGGAAGACTCATTAACCATCTGCATTATGTAGATGACACAGCCTTGCTTGCAGAAAGTGAAGAAGACTAGAAGTACATACTGCTAAAGAGGAAAGACGAAGGCCTTCAATAAAGTTACACCTCAACTTGACTATTGTACCAAGAGCAACATCATGATAGAGAAAGGACTGAAATTGTCAGAAACTTCATTTTATTTGAATCCACAATCAACATCTATGGTAACAGCAGTCAGGAAAAAAAGAGACTCTGCATTGGTAAAATGTGATGTCAAGAACCTTTCCAATGTCCTAAAGAGCAGCCATATCACTTTAAAGGCTAAGCTGTGTCCTATCCATGCTATGGTCTTTTTAATTACTTCCTATGTATATGGAAGTTGAACAGTGAATAAGGATGACAGAAGAACAACTGAAGTCTTTGAGTTGTGGTGTTAGATACGAGTTACTTAATATCCCATGGACTTCCAACAGAACAACAAAAAGGAAGTGTAGCCAGGGTGCTCTTTAGAGGTAAGGATGGTGAAACTTCATCTCACATATGCTGAGAATGTTGTCAGGAGGAGCCAATCTTGAGGAAAAAAGATAGCATGCTGGGAAAGGTTGGAGAGGGTCAGAGGAAGACCCCAACATGATGGGTTGATACACGATGGTAAGATAGAGCAAGGTTCAAATCATTCATAGGGTTGCTGTGAGTTTGTTTGACTCGATAGCACATAACAGCAACAACAAAGACACTTTCTTTTCTCTCTATAATCTATAGGGAGGGAGTTCTGGTGGCTTAGTGGTAAGGAGTTGCACTGCCAGCCCAAAAACAGACAGTTCTAATCCACAAGGTGCTCCACAGGAGAAAGATGGGCAGTCTTTCTTGTGTGATTTCTAGCTTCTGAAAACCTGCTATAGGGTCAGCTATGCGTTGTTTGTGACTGAATGGTACATAACAACAACAGTGTAATGTATAGGGAGCGCTGGTGGTGTAATCCACATGAAGCTGCACTGCTAACCCAAAGAGGCAGCCTCCCTGGTGGTTTGGATCATCCAGTGGCTCCGTGAGAGGGAGTTTGGCATCGCCACCTGTGTGATTTACACTCGGAGAACCTGCTAAAGGGTCAGCGATGAATTAGTTGTGACTAAGTGCAATGAGAGTGTTTTGTTGTTATTTTTAAATCTAATCTATATGCTCTTTCCGTCCTGTAATATAATAAAAATGTTTAATAACGTAATATAATGTTTATACTGTAACCTTTAGTTCACTATTGAATAATTGTGGAAGCAAGATGTTCTTCCTTATTCCTGCTCTTAAGAAAAACTCTTTAGTCTTTCATCATTAAGTGTTATATTAGGTATAGACTTTCTCTCCATACCTATTTAATCTATGTGCTGAACAAATTATTCAAGAAGCTGGACTCTGTGAAGAGGAATGTGGCAACAGAATTGGAGACTTATCAATGCATGATGAAGATGACACAACCTTGCTTGCTGAAAGTGAGGAGGACTTGAAGAACTTATTGCAGCAGATCAAGGAGTGCAGCCTTCAGTATGGATTGTGTCTCAATATCAAGAAGACAAAGAAAGATTCTTGCCACTGATGCATAGGTAACATTATGATGGATGAAGAGAATTGTCAACTTCATCTTCTTAAGTCCACAGTTAACACCCTTAGTACAAACATCAGGAAATAAGGAGACATGAATTGCAGTGGGGAAATGTGTAGTTAGGGATCTCTCCAAATTATTGAGTAATGATGTCAGTTTGAAGAGTAAGGTACATCTGATTCTGGCTGTAGTCTTTCCATTCACTTGTTATGCATCAGAGAGCTAGGCAATGAATAAGGATGACAGAGGATTTAGAATCGATGCCTTTGAGCCTTGGTATTGGAGAAGACCACTGAACATCCCATGGACGGCCAAAAGGACAAAAAAATATCTTGGAGAGGGTACAGCCAGAGTGCTCTTTGCAGGCAAGAATGATGAGGCTTCTCCTCACATACTTTGGGCATGTTGCTAGGAAGGTTTATTCCTTGAAGAGAGATATAATGCAGAGAAAGATGGAGGTTCAGTGAAGGAGAGGAAGACCTTCAACCAAGTGGATTGATGTGTACTGCTACAGTGGTCAGGAAGTGGGAGGATGGCACAAGTTAGAACAGGGTTCATAGGACCGCTGTGAGTTGTATTCGACTTCAGGGCACCTAACAACAACAAATAGACTTTCTATCCAAAAGACAGCTCAAAATCATTGCTGTTAAGTCTGAACTTTGTTCTGACGCTCCAGCAGGTTTTCAGAGGCTATAAATTGGGAGGCTATTGTCCATCTTTCTTTGGTGGAATAGAGACAGTCTTTTCTACTATGCAATGCAGAATTATGCTTTGCAGTGCAAAGATATTTGCAGCTTTCCTCAGGACTAGGCACCAGAGCGTCTAGGGGTTTTCTGTAGTTGCCCTTTCTTAAGCTAAAGAAGTTCAATTGTTTATATTCCTAGTTTGCTAAAGATTTTTCTCACTAATTGATGCTTTATTTTGCCAAGTGGGTTTTGGTTTTTTTTTTCCTGATCAGTTGAGATAATCATATGTTCCTTTTTCCCCCTATTAAATTGTTGATTTATGTTGATTGATTTTGGAATTTCAAATTTGCATTATTAAGAAAAGCACTACTTGGACATCATGTATTTTTAAGCTTCGTTATAATCAAGTTGTTATGGTTCTGTTAAGGATTTTTACATATGTTCATGAAGAACACTGACTGATTATTAATACACTTTTCTGTTTTAGTTTGTTTTTATCTGAGTTAACTCTGGTCCCATTGAATGATCTGGGAAATGTTCTCTCATCTTCGGTTTTCCAGTGAAATTTGTGTTGAATTGGCATTATTTCATCCTTACGCATTTGATAGTTGGCAGTTCCACCCTATAGAATTGCTCTAAGTTGGAACTGACTCACCAGCAGTTGATTTAACAGAAGATTATTTGTTGTTTTACTGCGTTACTACAATGAACTATAAATTTATATCACCAAAGAATCTAAGTAGTATATATGCTTTGTGAACTTTTTGTAAACTTTTAGTTGGAAATAAATTTTAGGCTTGAAGTGGAAGAGATGCATAGATAATGTAGAAAGCTCCTGCTTGCCCTTCACCTGGCTTCTCTAAGATTATCTTATATAACCATGTCACATTTGTCTGTAGTGATCTCCCTTTTCACATTCCTGTTAATAATTTATATCTTTTCCTTCTCCTGCCCAATGTGACTACACATTTATTAGTTTTTACTTTTCAAAGAATCAACCTTTGATTTTTCTTTTTTGTTTTTCTTATTAATACTTTCAAGTCTTTTATTACTTAATACACGAAACAGTTTTTTAAGTCTATACCTGGGTTAATTTTTATCTAATAATTTTTATCTAATAATTCTATATGTGGAACAGATCATCTGGGAGGCTGAGCTCTATGAGGAGGAATGTAGCATTGGGATTGGAGGTAGACTCATAAACAGTCTGCGTTATTCAGATGACACAACCCTGCTTGCTGAAACTGAGGAGGATCTGAAGCACTTCATGCAAAAGGTCAAGGACTGTAGCCTTCAATATGGATTGAAGCTCAACATCGAAAACACAGAGATTCTCACTACTGGGCCAGTTGGCAGCATCATGATAGATGGTGAAAAGGTTGAGATTGTTAACAGCTTTAGTTTGCTTGGCTCCACAATCAACACTCTTGGTGCCAGCAGCCACGAAGTCAAAAGACGAATTACATTGGGAAAGTCTGCTATCAGGGACGTCTCCAGAGTACTGAAGAGCAGTGATGTCAGTCTGGAGACTAAGGTGCGCCTAATCCAGGCTGTGATCTACACTACATGCTTTACATAAGAAAGCTGGACATTGATTAGGGATGATAGAAGGAGAATTGATGCCTTGAGCTGTGGTGCTGGAGAAGAGTATTGAATATACCATGGACTGTGTAGAGAACAGAGAGGTTCATCCTTGAGAGGGTTAAACCAAGCTGTTCCTTGGAGGAAAGGATTCTGAAGTTCCGTCTGACATACTTTGGGCATGTTGCAAGGAGGGACCAGTCCTTGGAGAGGGACATTATGCTTGGGAAGGTAGAGGGACAGTGCAAGAGAGGAAGACCCTTGATTAGATGGATTGACTCAGTGACTAGGGTAATGGTGGTAGATGTGGCAGAGACAATAAGGTTGGCTAAGGATAGAGCAGGGAGCAGAGCTGTTGTACAGAGGGTTGTGATGAGTTGCAGACAGCTTGACAGCAGATAAGAACAAAAACATTTCACATTCATTGTTTCCTTTTTTTTTTTTTTTTAGTAAATGACTTTATTCTTGCTGATAGCCCATGACATGGATTTTGACTTTGGTATAGAAGTCTTTAACCTAAAAAGAATAATTTAGTATTTCAGAAATTGAAATAATAGTACATGCATGATTTTATTGCTAATTAACTTCATGACAATGAGAATAATGTCCTGGTTTCTTTTTGGATGATTCAGTGATATTTTAATTGTAATCATCGTTTCCTAATTTAATTACTGCTTTTCTGTTAACAGGTTCTTTTTCAAAATTTTTTATTTTTATTTTATTATTTGTGTGTATGTGTACCATCAAATCAGATCTGACTGGTACAGGAGGAGATTGTCCCTCCTTCCCCAGAAGAGCATCTGGTGGATTCAAACCATACACCTCTGGGATTGCAGTGCAGCTTCTCGCCACTAGGCCACCAGAGCTCCCCTGTTAACGAGTTCTTTAAGTTTTTTTACTAGTGTTTAGGGATGTCCTATAGCTCAAAATATTAGTATTCTATGTATTTCAATGAATAGCTTCATAGGTTAGATTTCATTTTTTATAAAATGCTGATCTAATGAGAACCTAAAGCTTTAAAGACGGTAAAGAATAAATTTAGTTTTATTAAAACAAGATTTGTTCATACTTATAAATTAGTTCTATAAATGTCAGTATGCAGTCTGATTTATTTTATCCAAAAGTGTTTATTTCCTCCGTAGTGGTTTTTTTCATCTCCTGTAAAAATTATCAAATGCCTAGAGATTCTTTTCAATCTTACTTTCTTTAGTTTTATGGTTTATGCTTTATCCTGTATCTTCAGCAGGAGACGATAACTACTTAACATACCCAAAAGTTTTCATGTCAAGAATACCAAAATGGATGATAAACAGATAATAATTTGAGAAAATTTTAGATATTTTCATGTACTCTTACAGTTCCCTTTTGCACTATTGATAAATTTAAAATTAATAATCCAGAAATTCACATTTAAAAATGTTCAGTGTTCTAAATGAATTCATGGCCACCATCCTAGCTAATCAGCATTGTATCATAACTTAAGTTCAAGATGAACTATACTTTTAGTTGTTCTACGGTTAATCATAAAGCTATTATTGGCTGCTTAATTATTTAGTTTCAGAGTTTATTAATTAGAAAATGTATATGTAATTGGCAGGAAGCTGCACTGCAATCCTGAAGGCATACGGTTTTGGGCCACCAGCTGCTTTGTGGGAGAAGGATGTGCAGTCTCCTCCCGTTTGATTAACTGCCTCTAAAACCCCCCTGGAGGGTCAGCTATGGGTCAGTTCCGACCCCACAGTACACAACAGTAACATATGTAGTCAGTGATTATCATTCACTCACTCATTGCCATCAAGATGGAACCAACTTATAGCTGACCCTCCAGTAGATTCCCCCCACCCCCAGCGGATGTCTTTAGAGGCTGTAAATAACATGGGAGGTGATTGACTGACTGTCTTCTTGAAGCAGCTAGTGGATCTGAACTACGTACGTACCTTTGAGTTGGCAGCACAACTCTTTGCTAATAGGCCCCCCAGAGCTCCCTCCCTATTTTCTCTGGAAGTTTTAACTTGTGAATTAGGTTAATTAGAGCTACCAGTAAGTCCCAGTGAAATTGATAGATAATTATATATCATTCAGCTCCAGCATTACCAGTAAGATGGGTTTCTCTGTAAGAAATGACTGGTCTTTGTTTAGAATTCAGCTAAATTATATATGTATCTGTTTGTTGGCCATTTTTTAAAAAACATATCTTCTCTAACAATGACTTGGGCTTTTTTGTTTTTTAGAAGGGGACCATCTGGACCAAGATTTGGACCTAGAAATGATAAAATTAAGCAGTAAGTTCCTAAGACTATCTTTTGTTTTAATTTTCATATTTCTGTGTAACCAGGAGTTGGCAAACTATACCCATGAGACAGTTCTGGCTCTGCCTATTTTTGTAAATAAGTTTTATTGGAACACAGCCATATTCTTTTGTTTATATATTATCCTTCATTGCTTTTGAGCTACAATGAGAGTTGAATAATTGTAACAGGATCCTTATAACCAACCAAACATAAAATGCCTATTATTTGATCCTTTTCAGAAAAAAATAGGATTGGCCACCCACTTCTGAAATAGCAGGCCTCTGAAAACCCTATGCACAACAGAACACACGGAGATTAACAAAAAGGGCAACCTAGGTAGAAC